CACTAATACATTGTACCTCCACTCTAAGTTCAGCCAGAAAGTTGAAGCTTCAATAACCAAACATGCCAAATCTGGAAAAAGCACAGAACAGCACATAATACTCTTACAAAGGGCACGAGCACTAACAGTTATGAAAGTGTACTTTGTCCCTGGCCCTTTCCATATGTCTTATTTCATACTCAAAACAGCTCTATGAGGTAGTATATCACTACTACTTTACAGATGAGGAAAGTTTCGTGTAAGTTATTTTACAAACAGCCACACAGACGGTATGAGGTCAAATAAATTTATTACTAACCATGTAATCTTAGCTACAAAAGATCAACTGTAATTCTTCAAAGAAAAACATGATTGCCAGTATTAAAAGAAAAAGAAAAAGTAAGCTACCAATTTTGAACTAAATCAGTGTGGAAAAACAAGAACTTCAGTATTTGAACCACAAGAAAAAAACTAGTTTTCCATAATTTCAATTAGTCCTACAAAAGAATAAGTTGCATTCATAAGTAATCCTTAAAACAACTTCCATTTGCACGAATTAACTAAAAACACCTTCCATTAATATAAAGTAAAACATTGATGAGCTAAATACATGATTTCCCAAAGACACAGATAAAGTATTATTTTGTTGCTATACCAAGTTTTCACTTGATAACACCTCCAGAGAACTTAATCTCACACAAGGCAGATATTTATGACAACTACCCTTATAAACTAAGCTTAAAAATTCTGGTTTCCAAATTTTGTATTGGCTACACAGAATAAAATGGACCTGTAACTCTAATCAAGTTCTACAAGGTCTTTAGTAAAAGACTCTAAACATGATAGCCCATGTTATAATCAAGATGTTGATCAAGATATCTAAGTACTGAATTAAGCCAACTGCTTTCTCTCTTCCTCTGCAAAATAAATACAGATGTATCTATATATGATTCTGGTTAACTAAATACTTATGCATTTATTGGAATAAATATAAATCCAGTTGTTTTTTTTGTAAAGCCTGACACTTTTTAGTTTGATTTTTATAACTTGATTTCTTAGTCATCTTTAAAATGTTTAAAATGTTTTTAAAAGTTTGTCACTTCAAACTGCATAGAACTAAATTACTTAAGTGCAAAACAAAGGAATTCAAAATTCAATCTGCCTTTAGCATTCCAACTAAAGACTTCCTGTTAAAAGTAGGATTCCTTCCTTTGGCACATACAGTAAGAGCCCGACTGGTATGTTGGCTAAGAATGTTAAAGGTCAAATTTCACAACTAAACCTAGAATTCTCTAAGCCCTAAAACCCTTTAAGATATTATACAACTTGTTTTTGTGCTTCTGCTAAGTACAATAAAATGAAGTTAACCCTTGAGATAAGGTGTTTCCTGGAAGTCTAAACAATAACTAATATGCAGGAATCGCTATTGTCATTAAGTCATTATAAAACAATTTTTCCATATCTTTTCATGCTTATTAGTATCAACGATCAAAATTTAATGCTTGTGAAAAAAATCTGTCTATAGCACATCCCTCCCCTCCCACAAACTTACTTTCTCCTTTGTGTTCATTCATATTCCTTTACGCTATCCAGCATAAACCTTGAAAATATAAATTTCAAGTCTTTTCAAGATGAATTCAAGAAACTTTCAGCTATTGTCTCATTTTCAGATTTTTCCCTTCTGGAAAAGACAGTTATTATGTTTTTCTATTTCATTAATAATTGGTTATTAATCCTCCTCTCCAACTGAAGAGATTCCTTCAAAGTACTCTTTGTTTTTTTTCTAGAAGATAAAACACTAAATCTATTAAATTTCCTCAAGTAATGTATCAACTGCTATCATAAATGCACAACTTGTTTTGAAAGACAGTTATTATGTTTTTCTATTTCATTAATAATTGGTTATTAATCCTCCTCTCCAACTTAAGAGATTCCTTCAAAGTACTCTTTGTTTTTTTTCTAGAAGATAAAACACTCAATCTATTAAATTTCCTCAAGTAATGTATCAACTGCTATCATAAATGCACAACTTGTTTTGGGGGTGGGGTGTGTATTTTATTACCAAAACTTCGAATAGCTGCCACCTTCTTCAGGCCTGATGAAATCTGATGTTCAAAAGTCTGGGATAAGATATAGAACACAGAGCTTACAGTGTAGTCTCATTAAAACAAGGCCTTGGCTAGTCCATGAAATCAAATGGGTTTTTTTTACAATAATATTATTTAATTTAAAAAAAATTTCAATTAACCTGTACTTTATTTATTTCTAAGTTGTGATTAGAAAGTTGTTTTAAAGTCTGTCTTTAAACTTAGAAAAACGAAGTCAGATTGCTCCTTAAAGAACATAAGTAGAGATTTCGTTCTACAGAATTTATTTCCTCAATGATATTTTGGGAATCAGAACTTTAAAATATGGGGCCAGACCCGTGGCTCACTCAGGAGAGTGCGGTGCTGGGAGCGCCGAGGCCGCAGGTTCGGATCCTATATAGGGATGGCCGGTGCGCTCACTGGCTGAGCGCGGTGCGGGCGACACCAAGCCAAGGGTTGCGATCCCCTTACCAGTCACAAAAAAAAAAAAAAGAACTTTAAAATATGAATTAGAATTTTGATTTTAACTTGATATTATTAATTCTTCATATGTATATACTTAAAACTCAGGCAGAAAAGTATTATGAGCTATCGGTGATGTTTGCAGTATAAATATAGATGGGGAAGGTCTATGCAAAGAACTAATAACCTGTGTTAACGGTAAACATAGCTATTATTCCTGCTCCCCCTCCACTACCAAAAACTGTTTTGATTCCACAGATTTGAAATCTCTGGAGTCATCCACTCATTCAGCCACTTATTTTTTTGAGCATCTCCTATGTAGCTAGATGCTGTGCTAATCCTGTGTAACTATCTGACTTTTCCCTCTCCTTTGTCCCTAAAACCGCATTAGCGGCCAAGTGCTATTAGTATGGATTTGTCCCACTTCTCCCCTTTCCAAATGTCCGAAGCACAGGTAAAGTCTTCATTAACTTATTTAAAATATTAACTGTTGAACATGTACCCAGTGGAAAATTATGGAGTCATTAAAGCTACTCATAAAAAATATATAACACTAAGAAACTCATTCAAGTATAAAAGCAAGGACACAAAACTGCAAAGTATAATCACAACAATGTAAAAAAATTGGCATGGAAAAAGGATGAAGGACATAACAAATATACTAAGAGAATCTCTAGTGGTTGGGTACCTTTTCTGCATTTTGCAAATTTCCTACATTAAGCAGTTATTACTTTAAAAGAAAATAAATGAGCTTTATTTTAAAAACTTACATTTTTAGTTGGCTAACAAATTATTTCTGAGGTTTAGAACTGCACATTAGAAATAACCAAAATAAACACTCAAGTATGAATTGTCTTAATCCTTTAACCTAGAAGTTCTTTAAAAACAAAAAAGTAGTCATCCATGCTCATTATAGTATTTCTACATGTTTAGAAAACCTCTCCACTTCAACATCCCAGTGAGACCCTGATGTCAGCTTTCACAAAATTAAGCTGTCCTTACCAACTATTACACACTATTTCCAAATTTTCAAACCATTAATGATTTACTCTCTTCCAAACCCATAATTCTCATTTTTTTCTTCAAAGGTGTCCTAGATTTGCCTTTTCCTCTCTTTTGCCACTGGTATCTACAAACCTCTTTTCTCTAGGAACCAACCTATCCTGAATACTACTAATCTTTAAACACCGATTTCATAAAATCACTTGCTCTTTTTTTTTTTTTTTAAATCACATGTCTTTTTGAAAGCACAATGGCTTCTGCTTGACTCAAGTCTAACTAAGCCTGCTGTTGGACCACAAATCTCCATTTCACCTTACATCTTACTTCTTCAAACCAGGCAGAACTACACAATATCTTGAATTTAAACAATGCCTTCTCTGTTTTCACTGGGCTAGACCCAATTTTCCACCTAAAATGTCCTTCTTCTGCCTCCTGTTAATCTAAAGGCCAAGCTCAAAGCCCAGTTCAAGTCCTTCCTCTTCCAAAATCATTCTTTTAGGTGTTCCAGCCTACACTAATCTCTCTTATGACTCCCTCTTGCACTTAACAGCCAGTACCACAAAGTCAAACAATTGTTCTTTGACTATTGTGTATATTATTGGTTTTGTTTCCCCAAATAAGGAACCAGAAGGCAGAGACCAAGAGGGCCAAGAAAAATGCTAGACACATAAATGATTAATACTAAATGAATAAAAATTTTTCTACAGTCATAATACTCGTGCTCCAAATTGTTTTTTTAAGAAGTTATGTGAGCCAAAAAGTAAACCTGTCTTATTTTTTTTCTTTATCCTGCCAAAATTTAAAGCATACAACTTAGTAAGTAGGGGAAAAAACAGACAAGAAAGTTTAATTTTCAGCTTGCTTCAGTTTATCTAATAAAATCGAGTACTTTAAGAATAAAGTAGAACTGTACATTTCTCCAGTCTCTTCTGCTCCTGGTAGGAGTATCCCCAAGTCAGAAAATATGGAAAGCAGATTTTTTTATTTACATGGCTAATTTTCTGCCTATTACAAAAAGAACAAAAAGGCATACTCAACACAATTAACCATGTGACAATAAGTGTTTCCGACCAACCTGGGAAATATCCTCCTTTCCTTTCCCAGTTTTAAGTCCAATTTCTCTGAAGACCTAACCTTCCCCATTCTACCAAATCTAAACATAATTCACCCCAACTGGAGACATTAAATTCTCTAGGTTTTCAGGGCTCACAGTGTTAACAGTCTATATACCTTGAGATAAATGGCAAGTTTATATAACATGAATTAATAAAATAAACACAAGAGTTTTTTCATTCTGTGTAGGTTAATAACTATTTCCAAGTGGACTTAAGCAAGACTGGCAAAATAAAAAACTATTGTGCCATAAGTATTTTTTGGCTTCCCAGGAAAATCCAAAAAAGAGCATCTTTGTAACTGAAATATTAATAAATATCAATATAAACTAATGTACTATTTATAATGTTAAATTACCTGAAGCATGCCTCCCCTGATTCTGTGGCATTCTTTGGAAGAGATCATGGTTATATTCATAATATCTGTAGTCTTCGTGTGCACGATCTCCAAGTGGCCGTCTTCTCTGACCATCAAAAAAATTATCTGAATAATAATATCGGGAACCAGAGTCTCCATTTTCAACAGCAAAATTAACTTCTGTTAAAAATGACTGAGAAGAGCCATACTCCCGAGGGACATCTGCTAAACTCCTGGCAAGATAAGAAGGTGCAGATAATCTGTTGCTTTCTCTTCTCATTACTTCATGAGGTGCTCTTTGAACTGGAGTTCTAAGGAAACTCTGGTTTCTTGAAACTACTCCATCTCCAGAAGCTGAAAAGGCATTAGGGTTTGAATCTGGAAGACAGATATCAGTTCGTCTTGGAATTGTTGGACCGTGCCGGATGAATGAAGGCATGAGATCTATAATAAAACAAAGAGTAAAGTTAAATTTCAATAAGTAACTTTTCAAAAGTTGTCCATTTACATTTACCACCCTAAAATCAAATGTCAATTTCTCAAATTCCAATTTAAGATAGTACTTGGGTATTTTAAATTGAGGAAAATTAATGTTTACCCACTCAAATGAATTTATAATTTGCATGAATGTGCTATGTATAAGCTCAGACAAAATCAAATGTACTCCGCATACTACCATACATAATATGATAAACTACATATTAATGAAATGCTCATGAATTAAAATGCAAAAATAGGGGCCAGCCCGGTGGCGCACTGCTACAGTGCGCTGCTTAGGAGCGCAGCAGTGCTCCCGCCAAGGGTTCGGATCCCACATACAGACCGGTTCCCGCTCACTGGCTGGGCGAGGTGCGGGCGCAGCACCGAGGGTTGCGATCCCGTTGCCGGTCCCGGTCCGGTACGGGCGCGACACTGAGGGTTGCGATCCGTTGCCGGACACGAAAAAAGACAAAAAGGAAAAAAAATAAAAATAAAAATAAAAAAATAAAATGCAAAAATAGAAAATCTAACAAATCAGGGGCCAGCCTGTGGCTCACTTGGGAGAATGTGGTGCTGATAACACCAAGGCCATGGGTTGGGATCCTTATATAGGGATGGCCGGTTGGCTCACTTGGGAGAGCGTGGTGCTGACAACACCAAGTCAAGGGTTAAGATCCCCTTACGCGTCATCTTAAAAAAAAAAAAAAAGAAAGAAAGAAAGAAAACTAACAAATCGATACACAGTTACTAGTTACCTAAGATTACAGTTCGTTTCCTTTTCACTTCATTTTAGAAACTGCCAAAAATCTTTCTTCGAGCAAATACACTATCAGAGATAAAACAGAAAAACATAATGCTACTCCCTAATATGTAAAGGTGGATTTCTTTACAAAGATTTTAAAATTAGTAACTCTGTTCCTCTACTCTTGGAATTACCTAGCACTAGTACTCTAATCAAAGGCTGGAAAGCCAAACATCTAGGTATGAAAAATTAAAAATAAAAAAATTTTATTTCAAAAAGACACAAATGTTGCATCGATTCAAAAATACCAAGCCTGAAGCTATGGCTCCCTTAAGAACAATTACAGTTCAAAACAGAAGATAATAATAGAAGAATAGTTTCCAGGATATAGTACTTCTGAATACAGAACTTGAAACTAGCTTAGATGTTCCTGATGAGAAAGTAAATACCTTCAAACCATGAAGTAAACCGTATATGGAGACCATTTTATTATATTATTAAGTAAAGAATATTAGAAGACACTCATTAATAAGATTCAGAAGCTAACACTTTACAGAAACAAATTGATATCCAAATAAATAAGGCTCGACACCTGAAATTAAAAAAATACAAGTACTATATCAAAAGTTATTTAATTAAAGGTAAGACAAACATATTTTATGATTTCAAGTAATGTTTCATAAACATTTTTGCAGTAAACAGCAAGCCATCATTTAAAAACAGCCCAAAACACAACAGCATGTGTAACTGAAAACCAAGCTGTTAAAAAAGGGTTTAAAAATCAAGTTTCAAGTTACTGATGTACCCATCTAATACATTTTGTCGAAAAAACTGCAAGTATTACAATAAATCTGGAAGGCTGCCGATGTGGTTGTAATGGAAAAACATGCTCTCCACCCCTTTCCGTGTGATCCCGGGCAAATACTAGGAAGCTCTATGAACAACTTCGCAATTACAATATGAAATAATGTTAGGGCCGGCCCGTGGCTCACTCGGTAGAGTGCGGTGCTGATAACACCAAGGCCGCGGGTTCGGATCCTATATAGGGATGGCCGGTTTGCTCACTGGCTGAGCGTGGTGCTGACAACACCAAGCCAAGGGTTGAGATCCCCTTACCGGTCATCTTTTAAAAAAAACAAAACAAAACAAAACAAAAAAACCAATATGAAGTAATGTTAAATCACAAGGTTACAATCAGCATCCAATTAGGAAACTTACACAAAGGGTCCAGCACACAGCATGGGCACCAAAATATTAGCTCCTTACCTCACAATGTCCTGAACACACAAAAGTTAAAAAGTAAGGAGATTCCGCTCAAAACTCAAATACTTAAAAACTGAGAAGAAAAACGGGAGGAGGACTGCAGGGGAGATACACCCTATTAAAGTTAAAAAATACTTTTTGGTAATTTCCCTAAATCAAATCATTTTGAGTACTTTGCCTTTTTGGAATCTCACAACCGTAGCCCAATACAAATACTGTTACAAATACAAATACTCTTTTAGAAATACAAATACAAACACTTTTGGCACCTCGGCTCTGAGATCTAAGAGTGATGAGGCGCTGGGGAATACCTACAATAGCGACGGTCTGCTCCTGGCTTCCTCAAGTCTAAGTCTGACTAGAGCAGCAAGACTGAGGAATTCTGCACCAGAGGTGGCCCAACTTCCAGCCCAGGCGAGTGACATCCGTAATGTTTGCAAACATAAGGCACATCCCGACGTGTCTAGGGGAGGAAAGTGTCCCAGTCTCACCACTGTTACTCCTACATCATCAGGGGATAGAGCAATTCAAGTGTTTCCCAGAGTCTCTTTCTTTCAAGTTTTCAAAACCAACATCATTCACTGGGAGGGGGGAAGTGTTATTTTTAGGGGGTGCCCTAGGCCGGGGGCGGGGGAGTGGCACAGCAACCCTACTTTCTTATTTCTTACTCCTTACCGCCTTTCAGTCCACGAATACCGCTCACGCACAAAAAGACTTTAAAAGCCAGTGCTTCACAGAGACCAACGAGAAAGGGGGAGCCAAGCCGGGCGACCCGTCCGGGTCCCCGCGGCCGCCCCGGCCAGGTGTGGGTGCGCCCCGCCCGACACTCACTCCGCAGCAGAGGAGACGTCTCCTTCTTCACGTACTTCCCCTGCACCTCGGCCGGCTTGGACACTTCGTTTTTGGTTTTCTTTCGGGACAGCATCCTTCCCGACGAGGCCCAAGGCCGCGCCAGGCAGGCTCCCTAGAGCTTCGCGCCGGACGCCGGCCGTCTCCGCCGCCACCTCCGCCGGCGACGCCGCCTCCCTCCCTCCCGAGCAGCCGCCGCCGCCA